CCCCCCCCCCCGCCCCCAGCTCTGTCATCTGCCGGGCCCGCGAGTGTCCTCGCTGGAAGCTCACAGCCTTCCTTAGCAACCGAGGTGGCCAAACAGAGGTCCCGGGACGCTGGCGGGCGGGGCAGCCACTTGGGTCCACAACGCTGACCAAGGGGGTGGGTGCCATGGCTCTTCTCTAAGGAAGGCCTTCTCCCCCTCCCTCCCTCTTGTTCTCACTGCCCTCCAGGTGCCCAGCAGGGGGCCGGGGTTGTGCTCAGCCTATGTTAAAAGAACGAATAAACCAATGAGCAGATGAGAGCTTCAGCGGTCCCCAGCAGTCCTGTGGAGTCTCCCGTGCTGACACACGCAGGCCCAGTCACCGCCTCCCTGGGTCCTGCTTATACACAACTTGGGATGAACCCCCCACAGGGCAGGCTTTGCTTCGTCTGATGACTCCGGAAGCTCCTGGAACTTAGCATCCCGGTCTGTGTCCCTGTCCCCAGTCAAGCACACAGTCGGTACTCAATAACGGAAGCGGACTGAGGTTTCTAGGAGTCCCTCTTAGCGGACTGAGGTTTCTAGGAGACCCTGGCCACTGGCCCAGCCTCCGCCATGCTGAGCTACCGGCAGCTTCTAGAAGATGTGCAAGTAGGTGCCCGCTGCGGAAGCAAAGCACAGTCCCTTCCAGGCCACCCGCTCTGGCAAGACAAGACACCGGCAGACACATGGCTCGTAGCACGTGGTACTCTTTATTGTGACGCTCAGTGGAAAACATCTGTAAACCAGCTAACTGTAGTGGTGACAGCCGTAACGCATGCTAAGGCACTTTTATTATATAAAAAAGGGGTGGGGCTGGGAGCTCCGTTCACTCCTTTGTGACAGCAACTGGGACCTGAATTCAGAGCTTTTTAGGCATATGTAGCTTTCGTGTATCTTCATGATTTGTTGAGTTTGTTTCCTTTAAAAAAAAAATGCCTTCTTTGCCATAAGTAAGTCTAAATGCAGCATATACAAAACAGGAACACAGGTGAATTAATTCAGCAGCCAGTGTAGACCAGCGCAGGACAAACTATTCTCTTCTAAACGTGGTTCCAAAGGAGAGGCAGTGATAAAGACTTGGAATTGTATCATTTATTATAAGAAGGGGAAAAAAAAAGAAAACTTTTTTTTTTTTCCTTTCAAAAACATCTGTGCGGATGGCAGAGATTCAAACCGTACTCAGTCAATGCTGCAGATAATCTACCCTCGGGCCCCAGTCCTAGAGTAGGTATGAGATCACGGGAGGGCCACTGGCCCTTTGCAATGAATGCTCTGGCTGTCAGACTTGGGACAAGTCCCTTAACCATTAAATATATTTGGTCCCCAAGAATGTTGGGAGAAGCCACTGCGGGCCTTTCCAGCTTGGCCCCTGGGCCCGGTCTGCTTGGCCCCACAGCCTCGCTGTGGCAGGGGGCAGGCTGCCCTCGGCAAAGGAGGGAGGGGGGCCGTCATTGCACTTGAGACGCTGTAGAATCAGGAAGAGGACAGTGGCGCTGCCCAGAGGGGGTGGG